CACCCACTGCACTCCAGTCTGGGCGACAGAGTGAGACTCTAACTCAAAAAAAAAAAAAAAGTCACAATCACAAGATTATGATAATATTTTCAAGTAAGTGTGTTTAAAAAGAGAAAAAAAAGCATTGACTGGATGCAGAGGCTCATGCCTGTAATCCTAGAACTTTGAGAGGCCAAGGTGGGAGGATTGCTTGAGCTCATGAATTCGAGACTATCCTGGGCAACATAGCAAGACCCTGTCTCAGTAAAAAATAAAAATAAAAAAAGTTAGCTGTGTGTGGTGGTACACCTGTAGTCCCAACTACTCAAGAGGCAGAGGCGGAAGGATCGCCTGAGCCAAGGAGGTGGAGGCTACAGTGAGCAGTGATTGTGCCTCTGCACTCTAGCCTTGGCGACAGAGTGAGACCCTGCCTGACCAGGGGCGGGGGTGGGGGGAGGCAGAACCAATTCCTCTTTAATCAGAGGAATTTTTTTCAAAAAATGTATATCATAAGGTAAGTTGATGCCAAAAAACTTTGAGTGGTTTTCTAAATGATTTTCTGTATTGGGGAAGTTAAAATGACTAATGGTTGTGTGTGTGTGTGTGTGTGTGTGTATGTGTGTGTGTGTGTGTGTGTGTGTGTTTGTGTGTGTGTGTGTGTGTGTGTTGCTGATGTTTATTAATCACAAGCTAACTAGTAGACACCTCATGTTTTGTTTAGTTAATAAATCATCTTCTTGCAATTGTGTATCTTGAACTTCAAAATGGCACTTATTGAATCTGGGAAAGTGTTCAGGATTCCTCTGTAAATTAAGCTTATTTTTTTGTCAAATGCTTAATTAAACATACTTCTTAATGTGCGAAGAACTTATAATGAAGATGTGAAACAAATTTGTTTGTGGCAAGATATTATATGCTAATAACTGAGCATGGACATTAACTCACTGAATAACATCAGCTATGACATATATTTTGAGGACTGTTAACCTCGATTTTAGTTATTCCTGATTTTTGAATGCTGACACTTAGTTTTCCGGCTTTGTTCGCTCTGATTTTTTTTTTTTTCTTCTTAATTCTGTTGTGTTTGGTCCCTGTGGAACAAGAATCGTTCAGTCTGGTTGGCCCCAAGACGTTGCATGACTCCACCCCCTGCTTCCTTGAGCTCTTGTGAACTGTCACTTCAGTCTCCTTTATGCTTGTCACTAGCATTTCAGTCCTTTTAATTAAGGAGCTTATTGGAAAGGATACTTTAATAATATTTTTATTATTGTAATAAAAGTTTATTATACTAATATTTTCAAACAAATGTGTTCAATAGAGATTTTTAAAATAAACGAATTCCTCCGAAAGAAGACATTTATTTTTTTCCTACTTAAGAGAAAACTGATGGTCTAAAGGTTTTAAACCTCCTTAAATGTGTATCTACCTTTGGATAAGGTAAAATAAGTCATGGTGAAAGGTGTGGGTGTGATTGATGTCACTAGCAAATTGTGGATGTTTTGTCTCCGGATGCTTCTGGTCTGATTCTTGTGACAGAGGAGCCTCATGGACTTTTTAAATGACCCTTGTTGATCTGAGAAAACATTAGGGATTCCTATGTAAACTTGTTGTTGTTATTTACTTATTTTATCATTCGTTTCATTTTTTAAAAGTTGTTTCTTAGAGAGTAAACCCTTCCTTTTTTCTGAGTTCTAATTGGCATCAGTTTTGGTGTAGTTCAAGGTAGCTGCTTAGTGAGGAAATTCAGGGACTTCTGAAGTCCAAAAAAGACCGCTCCCTGTGTCTTTCCTCCATGACAGGAGGGTGCAATGACTGGTAGTGGCGGCACTTAACTTGTTCATAAAATAAGCTGATTTAAACCCACGTGTGGTAGACACACTGTGATAGACACATTGAGTGATGAATTTTAATGCATGTTTCAGGCTCCAAATTAACTATCTGCTTAAACAGCTGGATATTTTAGAGGAAAAAATTAACTTTCAATTTTTATTAGGTCTCTCCTGTTTAGTTCACAGCAACAATATGTGCCTGATATGCGAGTGATTTATAAAGGATGTGTAAGTATCTTTCTTCCTAATCTTTGTTGCAACATTAAAGAGGGCTGAACCCCGTGGCCAAGAGCTACCCTCAGAATTGCAGAGGGCTAGTCTGAAGGTCAGTTCTTCCACGGAGTCCTATGCCTCAGTTTCCTCTCTGTGAAATGTGGATAATAATAGTACCCACTTCACATTCATGGGACTACGGGAGGCCATGATGGAGAGCACTTAGCTAGGTGCTTTGCACAAAACAAATATCAACCAATAGTTGATGACATCGTCACCATATTTGCAGCAGGAGTTCCTGGGTAAAGACCACTGATCTTAAATACCACAAATATCTATAGATACCACTGAGATAACAGTGACTACACGCATCAGGCTGCCACCACACCCCTTCTCACACCACCTGGAGGGGAGAAACAAACAACTTAAAATCTTCTGAAGCTTTGCATTTAGACACTGGCAAACAGATGCCCAGAGCAGCCTCTGCCTCTGTTTAAATGCACATTGTAATCGGGTTTCTCATGCGGCCTTTACAAGGATGAGTTAAGTGGCTCCTTGACACATCATTATCACATATTGAAACTAAACAGCCACAAGGTCTATGAACTCTCATCACGCAGTTAATTATTCTTGAATTTTTCTGTGCGCCTGAAACATATTCTATTTATTTAACGGTCCCCTGGGAGCCCTGGCCGCCTTTGTCCCCAAGACACGGCCAGTGGTGTAAAACCTCTGCATCTGTCAGCGCGCTCCATGTGGAACATAATTGCCTGATTTCCATATGAAAGGTGCAGCCCTGACATTAAAACGACATAGACCCCCCAATGGTAACAATGGCTTCCTGACACCTACGGGAGGAGTGGGGCGGCGAGGGCTGGCGCAGGAATCAACAAGTGCCCCGAATGAGCGCCGGCCTTCACACCCACCAGGTCTGGAGTTACAGCTGCAGATGAAGGGTCCCTCGGGAACCAACAAGAAGCAACGAGGATAAAGCGCAAGAGGAGCCCAGAGATTAGCATCAGCGCGAGTCTGTGGGCGCCAGATGGCCCTCCGCGGAGGGCGAGCTCCCTCGCTTTCTTCCCGTCCCGTCCCCCCCACCAGAAGACAGCAAGCCCGCTCAGACGGAGAGAGATGATCTCATTCCGCAGCCGGGCACATGATTCGCCTTCTTTCTCTCACACACAGCTCGAGCTGAAGGGAAGTTGGAAAAGAGGGAAAGGCTGTGAAAGAAGGGGCGGGGAGGCCGGGTGGTTGGGAAGAGTGAGCCCAGGGATGGAGGGAGATGCCAGGCCCGAGCACTGGAGAACTGGCTCAAGCGGTTCGTGCAGGGGGAGGAAGGAAGACAGAGGGGGTACCCGGCACATGGCTGTCTCCTCCACTCACGACCGTGAACTTGACCTCCATGCTCCAGCGTGGCCCAGAAAGCTGTGTGTGCAGAAGTTGGGAGGAGGGTCAGGGACTGCTGCTGAAGCCATGGGATTAAGCTCTGCGCCCCACTGGGGAGGGACAGAGGGCAGTGTTTTCTAGTTCTTCTTCTTTTTTTTTTTTTTTTTGAGTTGGAGTCTCACTCTGTCGCCCAGACTGGAG